ATTTTTTTCTGGGGAATCTGTACTATTAATAATTTACAGACAACCCAGGTCTGCTTTGGATCTGATCAGACTGACTAAGTCTTGGGAACTCTGCATCACCAGTCACTGAGGAAAGGGGCTGGGAATGCTGCCTGGGACAAGAAAATATAGTTAGAAACATTGGAGTGAATCTAGCATCAGAAAGATGATGTGAGGACCGCAAGGAATAGCTGGAACCTGAGGTTTAATCACAGGCTCCTCATCCTCCGTGGATGAGCAGGTGTGTGAGCTCCAGCATGGAGCACTGCAGCACTAGGTCAGAGGAGGGTGATAGGGCGATGGGGCAGCCTGTGAGCTGGGGCAGTGTAGGCAGAGGAGCAACTGTATCATCGCAGAAGCTTCTGCCTTCACCCATCCCTCCAGCTCTGCAGGACAGGTGGGGTCCAGGGTCCGTGGAGCACTAGACCTAAGGAAGCCTGCATGGGGAGGACACAGGACAGTGACATCACAGGGTACCCCTCCCATCAGGAAAATCAAGGCCCAGAACTCACTCAACTCTATCCCAGGAGAACCAAGCCCTGCGTCAGGTGCAGTGCTGCCTGCCCCACTGTGCCATGGGCCCCGGGCTTCTCTGCTGGGCGCTGCTTTGTCTCCTGGGAGCAGGTGAGTCCTGTGCACAGGACAGCAGCCCCATTCTCAGCTTTCCCACCCCTGTGTCCTCCACTTTACCTCGGGGAGGGTCTCCAGGCTGTCTCCTGGCTCATCCTCCATCTCCTTTTCCCACAGGCTCAGTGGACGCTGGAGTCACCCAAGTTCCCACACACCTGATCAGAACGAGAGGACAGCAAGTGACTTTGAGATGCTCTCCTATCTCTGGGCACACCAGTGTGTCCTGGTACCAACAGGCCCTGGGTCAGGGGCCCCAGCTTATCTTTGAATATGATAGGAAGGAAGAGAGAGTCAGAGGCAACTTCCTTGATCGATTCTCAGGTCGCCAGTTCCCTAACTATAGCTCTGAGCTGAATGTGAACGCCTCGGAGATGGGGGACTCGGCCCTGTATCTCTGTGCCAGCAGCTTGGCACAGCCCGGCAGAGTCACTGACATTCTGTATGTAAACTTCCTGCCTTAGCTTTGACTTGAGAGCTGCAGGCCCCACCGAGGTTTCACTCTTTCAAGGGAAGCTTTTAGTTGTTTGGAAGGCATGTCTTGTGTCCTACTGAGTGCAGAGCTCTCCCAACTAACAGAGTCCAGGTTTCCTGTGCCCTGAGAGTGCCCGCTTCTCTGCTGCATCTTCTTGCAGCTTGTCACTTCCTGGGTAGCTTCAGAACAAGAGTGACCGATGAGCCCTAGATGTGCGATTGATTCTTTGTATTTGTTATATAGCTTAAAGCCTTTCAACAATCTTGCATATCAAACATTCTTATTTTTCCTTTACGGATGGAAGGCTAAGGGACATTGAGTCATTTTCCCATGTCTTCTGGCTTGTAAGGATCAGAAGCAGGAAACAAACTAGTCCACACATTTTCTATCTAGCCCCTGCTCCATCATTACCTTCTGTGTCCTGGTCAGTAAGTCAGAGCCCTCACACTGTCCTCTAGTGACCAGCAGGGCTGCAGTGGAGATTCAGTTGTCTTCAGGAGTCATTACTATGGCCTCTTCATTAGCAACTTTGAGGAATGTTAAATTTCACACTTTAAAAAAATCATTTATATGCATTCCCTGTGTCTTTCCCCAGTCTGTAGCTTACATTTTCATTTTTATGGTGTTTTTTGATGCACAAGAGTTCAATTTAATGCAACAAAAGCTAAAAAACAATTTTGTTTGTGTGTAAACAAAAACCACTTTCTCATATAAATATCTAAGCATATTTTTCTCAATTTATTCTAGTAAAATTTAATTTTGGATATTCACACTAAGAATAAATGTACCTAAAATATGTCTCATGTAAGAAATAAGACAGAGACCTAGGAATGGGAGGGAGGACATATGTTCAGTGAAAAAGCAGCAGCCTATCAAACACAGCCCTAAAGCAGACACCCGGAGCTGATGGTGGAGAGGTAGGTGGAGGCCCAAAATTGGGGTGGAAGCCCCAATTTTGCCGAAATGATTTGAATCTATGCTTTAAAGATGAATGCAGTTTTACCTCTTTAGGCAATAAAGACCAAAAATAGACTAACTATTTTAAATAATTGAACCTTAAACATACCAAAGTCAGAACATCTTCCCTAAGGACAGCATTTTCTTCTACCCAGTCGCTAAATCTGTATTTGAGAAAGCTGTGTACTATTGATAACCGTGCAATATCGTTACAATCAACATCGTAATAATACTGCTACTTGGAACAGAAACAAAGAGCACTTCTAAAGTTTGAAGAAGGTATAACTGGAAACAAGCTCTCACTGAGTTTGGAAATGCAGGCACTAGAGGGTGCTCATTTCTCTTCCTTTTCCAATCAGGGGGCTACTCAAAGTCTGTTCTAGAACAAGGGGTGAGATCCTCCACTTCTTCATGGTGATCAGGCTTTCAGAGGTAGAAGCCTTATTAGTTCATAATCAGCACGAACTGACCTCACCATTAAATGTATCGACCTCGATGCTCACCCTCCTCAGCAGTCAGAGATTTGCTGTGTTCTCCAGGAGCTCGTGCGTTTTCATGGAGCACACTTTATCCTCAGTTTATTTTAAAAAAAAAAAAAGAGCCTTTATAGGGAGTTCTATTAACAGAAGCTTTCTGTACTTTGCCCTTTTAGATGCTACAAATTCTGACACCTGATGAAAAGTGTAAACTTAAAGCTTGAATGTGGTTAAGATTTTTTAATAACCAAATTAAATAATATATATAATGAAAATGTCAATAATGCTCTCGAACCCAATCCCACCTTCCATTGGTAATGAATATTAACACTCTGGTTTGCTTCCTTTCACCTCTCTTTTCTGTGTTCATGCATACCTTTCTACCCAAGTGGACCTACAGAAAATGGGTTCGCCTGTACACTTTACCTGCCACATGCACACTCTTTTCTGTTAATAGACTTGGTCTTTATTGTTCCAGATTGGTTGATATAGACCTAACTTGCTCCTATTAGCTGCTTCACATTGCATAATGAGGGTAGACAGGTACACTCGCGCTCTGTTGCTTGATTCCTAAGTTCTGCCAGATCTTTTCTAAAGTGACTGAATGGCATCTTATGCTTCCAGGTTCTCCTCACCCCAGCACTTAGTTGATGATTCCAGCTTTTCCATCACTCATAGTCCTAGCAGGTCTGAGAGCTTTATCAGTTTCTCCTGCTTGAGGAGACAGGAATGGATAAAAGGGTAGATAATTGTCAAACCTATCAGAGACTACACAGTATCTGAGTTCATGCTCATAAAGCATTGAGAGGAATGTTAGTCTTGTTTTAGAGATGGGTCTACATGAGGCTAGAGTCCAGGAAGGTTAATGAATGCCTTGCCCATGGTCTCAGAGCTAATAAATGATGGAGCCAGATAAAGGATAGTCTGCTTGTTTCTGTGTGGGATTGATCGATGGGTCACTGGAGTTCGAGGGAGGGGAAGTCTAGAACCATCTGGAATTGTCTTCAGATAAGACACCAGGGGTAGGAAGGTCTGTGTACCCTACAGCACTGCAGGTACAGGCATCATGATGTTGGCAATGGGGAGATACTAGAGCAGGTTAGTGGCCTGGAACCAGACGATCTGAGCTTTGAGAAAATTATTCCCATCACAAGATGTAACAGAGACACTGATGTGAATAAACTAGACCAGGGAGCTCTATGAGGAGCTGTTGTTAACATGAGGGCGGGAGAGAAGCATCTAAGTGGTCACTTCTTATATGTGAAATGTAGAGGAAAACAATGTTAACTAGAATCCCATCTGATTTTAGTCAGTTTTGCTTGGTAAGTAGTTGGAAGGTGGGATAATTTATTTTTGAGGTTAGGTAAACATCTATAAGACTCCTTTACCTTGTGAAGTCTGGTGATGACGGGAAAAATGGCACGGCCAATGCAGTCACAGTTTGTTTAATAAATAACTCAGAGTTTAAAGAGAGACACTCATGGGCCTGAAATTGGTCAATGTTCCTGCATTCCAAAATTAGGAGGATCTTATTTTCTTTGAACCAGCAGAGAAGGAAGCATAGGCAGTGGGGAGGGCCAGTTGGGAACACAGTAGAGTGGCCTCAGGATATCAAAGACAAAGGACATGTAATATCAAATTCTAAGTCGTGAAGCTGTGATGCAACCCTGCTCCTTCTCCTAATGGTTTTTCAGGTCTCAGCACAGATGCACACCTGAGGGAGTAATTTCTTTGGAAATGAAGGACAAATAGCTGTGTTAAATATTAATAACAACTCCACCTTACAAAGCACACCTGGAAATGGAAACAAGATTTTTCTAAGGCCTTTTCTACTCTAAGAGTCTGTAACTTGTTGGCAAACTGAGAGGTGAGGATGGGGGAGTGTTGATCCACATGCGATGAGTACTGTGTGTGGGGAAAAGAAAGAGAGATCAGACTGTTACTGTGTCTATATAGAAAGAAGTAGACCTAAGAGACTCCATTTTGATCTGTATTTGAGATGCTGTTAATCTGTGACCCTACCCCCAGCCCTGTCCTTGCAAGAGACATGTGCTGTGGTGACTGGAGATTTACCGGATTTGGGGCTGTGCAGGGTGTGCTTTGTTAAACAAGCGCCTGAAGGCAGTATGCTTGTGAAAAGTCATCACCATTCTCTTAATCTCAATTACCCAGGGACACATACACTGTGGAAGGTCACAGGGACCTGTGCCTAGGAAAGCTAGGTATTGTCCAAGGTTTCTCCCCATGTGATAGTCTGAAATATGGCCTCGTGGGAAGGGGAAGACCTGATCGTCCCCCAGTCTGACACCCGTGAAGGGTCTGTGCTGAGGAGGACTAGTACAAGAGGAAAGAAGGCCTCTTGGCAGTTGAGATAGAGAAAAGCATCTGTCTCCTGCCCGTCCCTGGGCAATGGAACATCTTGGTGTAAAACCCAATTGTATGTTCTATTTACTGAGATGGGAGAAAACCGCCTTAGGGCTGAAGGTGGGACATGCTAGTGCAATGCTGCTCTTTATGCACTAAAAACGTTTATGGAGATGTTTGTATATGCATATCAAGGCACAGCACTTTCCCTTAAACTTAAGTCACAGAGATCTTTATTCATATGTCTTACTGCTGACCTTCTCCCTACTATGATCCTATTATCCTGCCACTTCCCTTTTCCAAGATGGTAAAGATAATGATCAATAAATACTGAGGGAACTCAGAGACCTGTGCCAGCCTGGGTCCTCTGTATGCTGAGCGCCGGTCCCCTGGGCCCACTTTTTCTTTCTCTATACTTTGTCTCTGTGTCTCATTTCTTTTCTCCAGTCTCTCGTTCTACCTAACGAGAAATGCCCACAGGTGTGGAGGGGCAGGCCACCCCTTCACTGTGAGGCTCTACCAGGAAGCATATAATCTTGAGTGTGAATCAGAGCACTAAGAAGAATAATGCCCTTTACGCTGTTTTGCCCTGTGCCATCCTAAACCCACCCCACCCGTAATTAAGCAGCCATGGAAATGAGGGGAGCCAGAAGGAATCAAACCCTGCTGCTTGGTTCAGTAGACACAGGGACCTGGGGGAAGGGTGTGGCTGGGTCCAGGAGAAGATGATGAGCTCAGAAAATAGACAAGGAGAAACCCCTGGGGAAAGCTTGTGAAACCTTGGAGGACACAGGAAATAATGTTATTTGAGTTCCTTTTTGGTTATTACTCAATTTAATTATTACTAAATTAACGGAAGGCATCCTGCACAAAGGGATATTCTCTGTGAAACATGACATCTCAAATACAAACAGAGCATTCGTCCTTACCCTAAAGCCCACCCTCTCTCCCCAAGTCCCTCATGCATCAGGCCACCTTTGTGCCCATAGGTCATGGCCAGTACTGTGTGGTCACCATCATCCACACACAGTGGGCAGTCAGCAGCGTGAGGTGGTTCTGCTTGCTGTGGTCTCACCCCAGACATGGAAAGCAAGAGCCCTGGGTGTGGCTGAAGGTGCTCAGCTGGGTTTCTCAGGAGTCCCATCTGTCAGTGAATGGACAAGAAACAGAGCAAAACGACTCCTCCAATGTTGATGAGCCTGCCCCTGGGATTTGGAAACTTGATAACAGAGAAAACCCATATAGACAAAGGAATTTAAACAGGATTATGGTCAATTAACCAAATTACAAAAGGATACTTGAAGGAGTTTTTGGAACATAGGAATCAAAAACACCATAAA